CATCTCATCAGTGTGACTAGACATCCGATTGCATGAAGCCGAGATCGAAACCCGACTAATCAGGCAAACGTCATACCAACTGTACCATTTTGTTGAGGTTTCTTCTAGACTCGATGAATTACTTAATTATAATATATATATATATATATATATATATATATATATATATATATATATATATATATATATATATATATATATATATATATATAACGAATAATCTTCACTATAGACCAAAAAAGCAACTAGTGTCCTCTTTACTGAAGCACTCTCCTCAGTATTGAAATGTTAGGCTGTCAGTATCAATTATTATTGTTCAACCAGAGATCAGAGATGACATCATGACATTTCCACTTACAATTGAGGAAAAAAAAACAAACCCTACTTAGATAAAGGACTTCGTAAGGTGTGGGCCATACTTGTGAGTAGAATTTTTCTATTTTTGTAAGGATTTAGCTATCTGGAATAACTTCAGTAAATCTATCGGAACATTTCCCAATCAATCTGAAGGCTCCAACTACAACTGAAATTGTTGATGTCCTCATGTGCCATATTTTTATTTCGATTTCAAGATCCTTCGAAGATACACTGCAGTCTGCAGGGAATGCCATGTCGATAAAGATGCATATTTTGTCTTTGTGCTCTCTAATCACAATGACAGGGCGGTTAGCTTTCATTGTTCTGTCTGTGTGTATTGTAAATCCGGTAAAATTTCTACACTTCCTATCTCCGTAACCGTAATTCTTGTAGTTTCCTTTCTTTAAAAGTGGCGTATGTTCCAGTGCAGATATTGGCCCACTTTATCATGCCGGGGTTCATATTCAGTTGGTGCTAATACTCTGTAACCTGATACAAGATGATAAATTGTTTCTTGATATGTTCGCCAAACGTGCATTTGGGGTCAAAACAATTTTTCAGTATGTGTGCTTGGTAAGGATTGGTCCTGTGCAGCAAGAATAAAAACTTTGGTTTCAGCTTTTAAGCCTGCACTACGTAGCCACTGATAGGTACTGGGTTTGTCTACATCAGCTTGTTTAATACGGGCAGAATATTGACCGTGAATCGGTTCATCTTGCCATCTATTCTGCATTTGATGCATTGCATTTGCTTTGGTGATATTTTTAGGTACTTTGCCGCTGCAGTTGGTGTATTATTTTTTATTTGAATTCTTCACACACATTCAATTCCCTTTCGAAATGTGTTGTCTTCCTTTATTGCTGAATTATTATTATTATTATTATTATTATTATTATTATTATTATTTCCTTTGATTTCTGGTGGGTACTCATCATTTCTTTCCAGTTATTGACTAAAGACCTAAGGATAGAAATGGAATCATGATTTTTTTTCCAATGAGCAATTTTGTAAAAAAAAAAAAAAGAAAAGCCCTTCGTAAAGTGTGGGCTGTACTCGTGAGGACATTTTTTTCTATTTCTTTAAGGCATAGGCAATCCCTTCAATGAGTCTACTGGAATCTTTTCCATTCAATCCAACGGCTTCGACTACAATTTCTCATGTATCACATTTTTTTTTTGAGATTTCGATTTCAATGTCCTTGTATTTTGATAATTTTTGAAGATTTTCAAAAATACGTTGCATTTTTTTTTTTTGATTTGCCGTCTCTAATAACGACGTCTAGGCGATTAGCTTTGATTTTTCTGTCCGTGTGTATTGTGTAGTCAGATAAAATTGTCACAGGTCCTATCTCCGTAACCGGGTCTGGGTGGTGTTCATACCAATTTCTTGCAGTTTCTTTCCGGAGAAGTTGCAGATTTTCCAGTGCAAATATTGGCCCACTCTGTCATGCCGCGTTTTATATTCAATGGGGGTCAATACAGTGCAAAAAGATGGTCAATTGTTTCTGGATATTTATCACAGAATCTCCATTTTGGGCTAACACAAATTAGTGCTTGATAATTTCTAGTTAACAAGCATTGGTCCTGTGCAGCAAGGATAAAACCTTCGCTTTCAGCTTTTAACCTGGAACAACGTAGCCACTGATAGGTACGGGGCTTGTCTACATCAGCTTGTTTGATACGGGCAGAGTCTGTCTATATCTCTGAGATAAGGTATTATGATGACTTGTATTATTTACTTTATTTGAACTGATATCCTCATCTTGCCATATTCACAACGTTTCGGCTTTTATAAGCTCCGGTCTTCTTCAGGTGATTAGAATTTCGAACTGAACGCTTTATTTCGTCCACCGATGTAGATTATTCTAGTTCCACGTACCATGCCTCTTCCAGATGTCCCAGTTATTTCCCTTTTAACTCATCCCTCCATGTTTTCGTTCACCACTGATATGGCCTCGTACTGAACTCACGGCTCTTTGGGTCTAGTCACTGGATCTAACCAACGTCTTTATCCACTGGGCCATATGTCCTTGAGGATACATGGCCCAGTGGAACTAGAACAATTCATCCCGTTGGAGGAATAAAGGGTTCGGTTCGAAATTCCTATCACCTGATGATAGCGTGATCGTACAACGATCAACAATTCGCCCTTGCATGGAGTATTGCTGCCATATAAGGTCTGGTGCCCCTTCTGTTTGCCTTGGGGTTCTTGATAGGCTCCAGAGGCGGATATGCAATATAATTGGCCCTGTTCTGGCATCTCGTCTACAGTCGTTCTCTTACAGACGCGCCGTCTCCTCTCTCTGTCTTTTTTACAAATACTTTCATGGCAATTGCTCCGAGGAGCTGCATTCGCTGGTTCCCAGACGTCATGAGTTCCAGCGCCCTACGAGGCTGGCACCCCGCTCTCACCCCTTCACTGTCGAAACTCCTAAATGTAGCTGTCTCTTCTATTCTAATAGCTTCATGTCTCGCACCTCTCACCCGTGGAACTCCCTTCCCTTCTCCTGTTTCCCTGAGAGCTATAATCTCCAGCTATTCAAGTGTAATGTCAATCGACATCTCCAGTTGCCTTGATCTATCCACTACCCTTCTCCTCATCCTTTCTTCTATCACTCCTATCTGATCTTGCGCCAAATTTTCTGTAACCCCTTGCGTCCTAGTGGCTTCCCGCCTTGCTTGGGGTGACATGCTTAAAAAAAAAAAAACGACCGAAATGTTATGGCAATGAAGATGAGAATATCAGTCCAAATAATTTGAATAATGCAAGAACGGTCAGAGTATTGACCGTAAAGCGGTTTACCTTGTCATCATTTCTGTATCTGGTCGGATGCATTTGACTTTGCTTTCTTTTTTAAGTATTTTGCAGCTTCAGTCGGTGTATTATGCTTTACTTGCACTTCTGCACCCACTTAAAACTCCATTTTGAATTTATTGGCTTTCTTTATTATTGAATAAAATTGCTTCTTACTTTCATGTTCTTTGACACAGATCCTCATCCAGTCTTCTGTCGTTTCTGGGTATCTTTGAAGGTCAATTGTTGCAGTTTTGTAGGACAGTTCTAGTTGAACTAATCCTCCGCCTCATTCGGATCTGGGTACATACATATCAGTCTTGGGATGTGGTAGCAAATGAGAAGCTTTCTCGTATTGGCGTTCATTCGCTTAATGTCAGCTATGGTCCAGTTAAGAATGTTGACACTGTATTGTACTACAGGGATAGGCAATGTGTTTATGGTTGATATTCTGTTTTTTGAATCCAGCCCGGGATTCAGTACCAAACGCACACGCCTGTAGTGCTCCTTTCTTACCTTCTCCTTCATCCTGGGTATGCTGTATTCCTTCGCTAATTCCTAGGTACTTACAGGCTTCATCCAGTTCACTAATCTTTGTGACAAAGCCTAAATCTATTGAGTGTGTTATTGTAATTCTCCCTATCTTGAATATTACTTTTTCACATTTATCTAATTTGAAATTTATACCTATATCATCACTAAAACATCACACAGTATTGAGGAGAGCTTTCAACTTGGATGAATTCTTCTTCTTCTTCTTTGTGCCGTCTCTCTTCAATATATAGGCAATCATGGCTCTCCACAATTTCCTTTGCTTTGTAGTTCTGAATTTATTTTGTATTTTTGTTATCTCTCCTAAACTTTGTTTCGCCATCCATTTACTCAAACATCTTCTTCTTCTTCTTCTTCTTCTTCTTCTTCTTTTTTGTGCCGTCTCTCTTCAGGATATAGGCAATCATGGCTCTCCACAATTTCCTTTGCTTTGTAGTTCTGAATTTATTTTGTCTTTTTGTTATCTCTCCTAATCTTTCTTTCGCGATCCATTTACTCAAATTTCTTCTTCTTCTTCTACACGTTGTTGTTGTTGTTTGTTTGTTTGTTTCATTGTATTTTTTTTGAGTACACATTTCTTTCGGGGTCCCGACCAGAGACCTAAGGTCAGAAATGGCATCATGACATTTTCCAATGAGCAGTTTTGAAAAAAAAACTCTCACATATTTTACATAGATAAAGCCCTTCGTAAGGTCTGGGCTGTACTTGTGAGAACTTTTTTGCATTTCTTTAAGGCATACGCTACCAGGAATCACTTCAATGAGTCTACTGGAATCGTTTCCAATCAATCCAAGAGCTCCAACTATAACTGCAATTGTTTATGAACCTATGTGTCACATTTTTGAGATTTCGTTTTCAAGGTCTTTGTATTTTGATAGTTTTTTGAAGATCTTCAAAGATACATTGCAGTCTGCAGGGTCTGCCATATTAATAAGAAGGCACATTTTGTCTTTGCGGTCTCTAATCACGATGTCTGGGGGATTAGCTTTGATTGTTCTCTCTGTGTCGATTGTAAATTCGCATAAAATTGTTACAGATCCGGATCTGGATGGTGTTCATACCAATTTCTTTCTGTTTCCTTTTCGTAAAAGTTGCAGATTTTCCAGTGCAGATATTGGCCCCACTCTGTCATGCCGGATTTTCGGCGTCGCACATTAACGTCGTCACTGGAAAATCTATTCTTGAGGCATGGCGTCCACAAGCCTTCTCACAACTCAAAAACATTCGGTAGAATCTTCGCAGATGACAGTTTTCTGGAACTCTACACGTTTGGTCTCATCTCCAATTCGGCTTACGAAAAAACACCAGTTCCCGTACGATCAGCGAAGTTAAGCAACGTCGAGCCTAGTCATTACCTAGATGAGTGACTGCTTGGGAATACCAGATGCTGTAAGCTTCGATGTGAAGATGGTATACGATAATATCACGTTAAACAGCTGTTCCCATACGATCATCTAAGTTAAGCAACGTCTATCCTGATCAGTACTTAGATGGGTGACCACTTCGGAAAATCAGGTGTTATAACCTTGGATGTGTGGGTGGTGGAATGGATAATGGGAAATTGTTAAACGGACAGCCGAGTTTCATTTCCACTTGGGTTCGTTATAGTCACGCGCAAAAGCCCTTGGGAAAGACAGGTATCAATCTTTTCCCCCAGCTATGGGTTAATTAGTAAAAATATGTATCCCTAATTCATTATTTTCTCTCCAAAAAAAAAAAAAATTCTTACAATCTAAAAATATTCTCTGGCTTTAAATAACCTCAAAAGGTTGATAAACCGTAGAAAACGGATCAATCTATGAAATACCGATTCGCTACACAGGCATATATTTTAGATTTATTTACATCCTCTGGAATATAAATGTATAGGAACTAATGTGGCAAAAAACTGAGGGGTTAGCTTATATAGTGATTACAATATAGAATTGATCACCCACTTTATATTCGTATAATAATTTCTTGTATCTCAAATTTTGAGTAGGTATCAATCTCGCCTTCTCATCTAGCTATGGGTCTATTAGTAAGACTTGAATCGCTAAACCATTATTATCTTTAAAAAATTTTGACAGTCTAAAAACATGTTCTGTCTTTAAATAACCCGCAAAGGGGTGACAAGCTGTAAAAAAACTCCAATTATTCAATCCATTTCTATTCAGCCTAAGCAACTTTCAGTTTTCTGGGCGGTGTTTCAAGTTCACCCAATACTGCAGATATTACTTTTTCAGCTCCCGAGCGAGATCCTGGTATTTTAAAATCGTTTTTGTTTCTTTGGAGATCACTCTTGTATCGTATGAAATAACAAAGTCAACAACTTGGAATATGCTAATCTCCACATTCATAACAATAAGGTTCGATTCTCCTCCTTCAATAACCGGAAATGTCTGGACAAGAAAACACATAAAATCTTGTACCTGTCATTTTCTGCTACTGCCTCTGGCTGATGTCCATTCCTCTTCTGAAGAGGAATGGATATCACTGAAGCCAAACTTACGGCAAACTTCTCACTAGATTCTCATTTCAATCCGATCATCTTGACACTTCTGTGCTAAACTGGGGCATTCAGTGCGCATGCGTATATGTCTATCCTGGTTTTGAATGCAACTATGTGTTGCAAATATCTGATCATGTTTCCCTCTGCGTTGAACCATTATTTTCTCCAAAGACGATTTGAGAATTGTCTCTGTGACTTTTTCTATAAATATTTTCAAGTTAATTATTCAGATGAGCTTTCATTAAGGAAACTAGTTAGGACACCATAGAGCCTCTGTGGTATTATGGTGGCTGTAGTAAGAATGGTAAGTCAGAATGTGTTGTTTTGGCGTAAGGAACAATATGATATGTTTGGATCAGTAATTGTGGCTAGCTAAGTTTAAGATAAGACAGATTGAAGACCAGCCTTCCCCTATCTCCCCTTTTGGCCTTGTGTCTCATTTTTGTATTATAACAAAATAAATATTACTTTCATTGTCGGTACCAAACTTTATAAATTTAAGCGTAATAATAGATTGACAGGTAGATCTGATCATTTTACAATTAAATGGCTAGCTACAACCGCAAGTTCTATGTTAACAGTTTCTTCTGTTACACTTTCTGCTTGCGGGAATCTTTTCTGGCTTCTTGCTTTTCAATCAACTTCGATCTTCAAAAATTTAAATATAATGACAATCGTTATCTTTTTAATTCTGGTTCTTTTCTCTCTCCTTAATAATGCGTTTATTTTTCTTATATTCCCTCATACTCGGTAATCCCTTGGGCCTTAGTGGCTTTGTTGCCTTGCTTGGGGTGATTATGTGTGGTTCGTTCTGCACAAAACCTTCAGCACTATAATCAAATCATATGCGTTAGTGTCTGGAATGTCGGTTCGTAGGAACTGAGCTGCTTGACTCTCATACGTCGAATATGACAGTCCACCATATATATATATATATACAGCGAAACAGTCTGTATGTGGATGACAATATATATATATATATATATATATATATATATATATATATATATATGTGTGTGTGTGTGTGTGTGATGGACTCTTCCGTCGAGTTCGACGTATGAGGTTCCGACATCCACGAACTAATTATCTGCATGCCTATGACGGGCCTGACTTTTGAGACCGACTCAAGAATTGCATAAAAGACCTCAAACAGTACAGGAGAAGGTATTGTATCCAAGTGCAGCAGGAACACTGTTAGATGTCATATTTTGCTTTCTCGTTTCATGTAGTCGACTGAACTGTTACTTCTCAGTGCAGCTATGTCAATGTTATACTTCTTTTTGCTCCAATGCGACCAGAGCTGTTTTTCTTCACACACACACACACACACACACACACACACACACACACACACACATATATATATATATATATATATATATATATATATATATATATATATATATTATAAATTAATTGATTTAAAATATGGAAATATGTATTATATATAAATTAATTTGTAATATTAATGCTCTGTAAATTTACATCGAGCACTATTTTGTAAAATAAAATACCTATCAGAACACCGGATTATATATCTTACTGTTCTTTCTTTTTATTTATATACATACATACATATGTTAAGAAATGGACAAGGTCCGACAATTTATTTATTAAAGACATTTTTATTTTACATATATATATATATATATATATATATATATATATATATATATATATATATATATATATGAAGAAATGTAGTTGTAAGGTGTGCTATATTTATGTGATAATTTGCTTCATACGAGAGATTGAGCTTATGTAAATATAAATATAAAAGTGAACATTGTAGTCAACACTCAGAGGTGACAGGCTGTTTCATGGTAGACGTAATCATCAGGCCGCCTGATTGCGTCCATCATGAAACTGTCTGAGTGTTGACTTCAATGTTCACTTATATATATATATATATATATATATATATATATATATATATATATATTATGAATATTATAAAAAATAAGTATATTCATAAATCAATTAAGAAATAATACATATTAATATATTTTTAATCAAAATATAATTTTTAAAAGTTTTCCTACTTCCCACAAGTAATACGTGGAACAGAAATACGAACAATGTTATGAAGCGATTTTTCTTTTACCTTCTTAATCACTTCTCTTTATGACTATTCTTTCCTACAGTCACTCGATCATTATTATTATTATTATTATTATTATTATTATTATTATTATTATTATTTCCTTGGATTTCTGTTGTATACACTTTTCTTTCCGGGTCCCGACCAGAGACCTAAGCTCAGAAATCGCTTCACTGATAAAAAGAAAAACAATTAAGATCGCAGTTATTTTACATAAAATTCTTCGTAGTGTGTGAGCTGTACTTGTGAGTACATTTTTTTGTATTTCTTTAAGGCATGAGCCCAGGTATCCCTTCGATAGGTCTCTCTCAGTACCTTTTCCAATCAGTTATTATTATTATTATTAATATTATTATTATTATTATTTGCTTTGATTTCTGATGTATCCACCCAACCAAAGACTTAAATTCAGAAATAGCTTTATGGCATTTTCGACTGAAAACCTATCATCACACATCTTTATACACAGACAAAGCCCTTCATAAGATGTGGGTGTGTTTGTGAATACAATTTTTGGAATCTCTTTATGGCTACCAGAAATCCCTTCAATGATACTATCGGAACCTTTTTCAATCAAATCGAGGGCTTCAACTACAAATGGAATTGTTGATCTTCTCCTGTACCACATTTTGGAGATTTCCACACCAAATTCCTTGTAATTTGATTGTTTATCGAATATCTTCAAATCTACATTACGTCAATAAAAAAGCACATTTTGTTTTTGTGGTCGTTGAACATTATGTCTGAGCGATTAGCATTGATTTTTCTGTCTGTTTGTATTGTAAAGTCCTATGTCTCTAATCGGATCTGGGTGGTGTTCATATCAATTCCATGCAGTTTTCTACCCGTGACAGTTGCAGATTTTCCAGTGCAGATATTGGCCCATAGAAAGTGGAAATGTCCGCCTAATTGCAGTACTGAAAATATGGCTAATACTCTTGATGAATGAAATCTCCCTCCGAATTAAGAAGCCCAGTTGAAATTTAATAATAGTCTTGTGTTGTTCTTCCTCGTTGTATGAAACCTGGGTCCTTACCGGACATACGTGAGTGGGAACACATCGCTCTGCATTGTTTATTCTAAAGGAAAGAAGTGCACAATGTTGTACGTGGCCCTTGAAAAACTCGAGGGTTTTTTGCATGTGTCTTGTAGTATCAAATGATGCCACCGAATTTTATCTAACGTCTAATGAATGTAATCGCGTTTACCCAAGTAGGACAGGCGTCAATAATCATCAAAGACTCCGCACATATACAGAAAAGTCATTCATTACACATTATGAGGAATATTATGTAATAACTACTACAAAAGACGAGCAGCATTGCCGCATCTGTGCAAGACAATGTAAGACCGTAGCAGGACTAAAACACCACATATCAGGGGAAAAATTCAGTAAAAAAAAAGAAAAGACTAAAAACATCCGGGTCGGTCGAAAATAATCAATCAGCACCGCAATTCCTAATCAAAAGATGCCACGGGATTTGATCCAATGTGTAATGAATGTAATCGCATTTGCCCAAGTTCTTTGATTGTTTTTCGAATATCTTCAAATATACATTACGGTCTGCAAGAACTGTCATGTTAATAAGAAAGCACGGATTTATTATTATTATTATTATTTTCTTTGATTTCTGGCGTTTACACATTTCTTTCCGGGTCCCGCCCAGGGACCTAAGGTTAGAAATGGCGTCATGACACTTTCCACTGACAAAAAAAAAAAAAAGAATTAAATTACATAGATAAAGCCCTTCGTAAGGTGTGGGCTGTACTTGTCAGAACAATTTTTTGTATCTCCTTGAGGCATGGACTTCCAGGAATCCCTTCAATTAGTCTACTGCAATCTTTTCCCTCCAGTCCAAGGGCTCCAACTACAACGGGGATTGTTGATGTTCCCATATGCCACATTTTCGAGATTTCTATTTCAAGGT